CCCCCCCCCCCCAAGAATGTTCTGGCCGACCCCCCCCCCCAAGAATGTTCCCCCCCCCCCCAAGAATGTTCTGGCCGAACCCCCCCCCCCCACCAAGAATGTTCTGGCCGAACCCCTCCCACAGTCTTCCGTAAGTTGACGTATTTCGGGTGATAAGAACATTGCAAACGTGCAAGAGGCCACATCTGTCTACAAGTATAGAACATGTCACAATACCGTACCTATTCTTCGGGAGGTTGTTATTGAGGCTTGTAGAGAAGCTAAATGGGATGGGTTTGTTGAATTTGTGAATTACACAGAATACTCACAGAATGCCTCCCACCTCCTTCACTCACCTTGTCTTCGAGTCACTTCCACAAATACCAAAGAGGAAGTGCTATAAGTGGCCAGACAGACGCTCCCTCTGCACGAACAGACCAACGTTGAAGACTTTATGACCCGCAATGTGCAGAAATATCAAACGCAGTTTAAAAACAAGTTGGCGATCAAAACATATTGTTGCTTCAACAAATACAAAATCTTGTAATTGTATGGCTGACAGCACACATTAGTATTCAATGGAAGTACAGAATTACATGTCTACAAATAACTGCAGGGAACATGCTCAGCTTTGGCTTGCGAAATTTAAACTTTAAAAAGTGAATTGAGAAAATAACTAACAATAACGAAACTAATAATGGTATTCTAACACAAATACACTCAAGCCCAACTACTTGGGCTGGACGGTAGATCGACGGGCTCGCTTCATGCAGGTCGGCGTTCAATCCCCGATCATCCAAGTGGTTGGGTACCAATTCTTCCCCCCCCCCCCCCGGTCCCATCCCAAATCCCAATCCCTTCCCAATACTAAATAGTCGTAATGGCTTAGCGTTTTCCCCTGATAGTTCCATTCCCTTCTTCGTGATGAAATAGCATAACTAAGAGAATGCTCAATGATATTGGGGCCAGATTCACGAAGCAGTTACGCAAGCACTTACGAACCTGTGCATCTTTTCTCAATCTTTGGCGGTTTGGTTTACAATTATTAAACAGTTAATGAGCTCCGAAGCACCAGGAGGCTGTTTATAACAATAACAACAGTTGATTGGCAAGTTTTCATGCTTGTAAACTGTTTATTAAATGTAACCAAAGCTGTCAAAGATTGAGGACAGATGTACACGTTCGTAAGTGCTTGCGTAACTGCTTCGTGAATCTGGTCGTTTGGTTAGCAGCAAAAGTCCCGTCTTCCATTTTCTCTAAACGGTTGAGGATAGATGTACACGTTCGTAAGTACTTGCGTAACTGCTTCGTGAATCTGGCCGTTTGGTTAGCAGCAAAAGTCCCGTCTTCCGTTTTCTCTAAACGGCTCCCAATTTCCCTGAAACGTGTTTATAACCTGTCGTCACGGTAAAGACCAGACTACCGTCACCGGCCGCAGGTGTAAATGTCTGCACTAGGATATCAGAAACTAATTCACGTCTGCAATTTCAAAATATTCGGCATGAAAATCGTATTGAATGGACGCAGCTGTGAGACACGGTTACTGCAATGAGGCTAACAGTTTTTAAAAGCAAATCACTATACGTTTGTGTTTACTGTTGACCAACGCTGCAAGGTGATCCGTTGCACTCGTCCCTCTCCTGCTCTTTCCTCCGTTTACTTTGCGTTTTTTTGTTCTTGTTTTAAGCTGCGTTTTTCTTAATTTATGCTGCGTTTTTCCTGCTTTAAGTAGCGTTTTTCTTAATTTATAATTATATAATTATAATTTATAATTTTTTCTTGCTTTAAATAGCGTTTTTCTTAATTTATGTTGCGTTTCTTCTTACTTTAAGTGTTTTTTCTCAATTGCGTTTTTCTTCTTTGACTCTGCGTTCTTTATTGATTTTATCCGGAATTCGAACATACCGATTTTCCATATTTCATTCTAAATTAATTTATCTCTCAAATAATTTTAATATTAATAATCTCTCTCTCTCTTCTACTCTCTTTTCTTCACACCATCTTCCCACTCTTCTCCCCTCAACACCTTTTACCTATAACCTGAGCTTGTAAAAGCATCTTAATCTCCTTCAGTGGTTAAGTGTTTAATATCACACAAGTTTCTATAGACGCTATCTTACCCTGTCAAAGTAGGAGAGACATAGGTGTATATATATATATATATATATATATATATATATATATATATATATATATATATATACCTAGTACTATATACTATGCAAGGCCCGATTTGCCTATAAGCCAAGTTTTCATGAATGTGGATATGTGTATGTATTTCATAAAAAATTATAGTAAATATATTAATTCAGGTATAGGCAAATATATGTATAAGGATGTGTATTTGTATACAGGATATGTGGAAGCTGTAAAAAGACACCTCGAACACTGTTAATGTAGGACAGACGTAAATCTGTGTATTTATGTATGTGGGTTAGATTAGCATGTTAAAATCATAACAATCACGTTTTGTGGTTGATTGTTTATTAAATCACTGAATTATATGTGTAACAGATCTCTAACCCTGTCCATGGAGGACAGAACAAAATGTGTAAATGCTG